TGTCATGGGTTTTAAATTCCTTTTGTAGGTCGGACAACCCTACAATCAATTATCTGCTGGCTGTATTTCTGGTTCTCTTGGCCATGATGCACATTCTCGGGGAGGTCTCAAATGGGGTCGTCAGGATGGTTCTCACGGTCAAGATGCTGCCATCTTAACTCCTGATGAGGTACGCCGTTCAATTGCATTATTCTTTCGGTCAGTTTCGCTACCTTTATTTATAGGTTGGGTTTTTATCGTTTTGTGGATTGATTATTTTTGGTTTTTAGCAAATTATTCCAGTCGTTCCTCCGGCTAGCGCAATATATGATCCACCTCTGTATCATGCGCCTTCCAAGCAGTCACGTTCGACGTTTGAGAATGTCCGGGCATTGAGGACCCTTGACTTGAATTCATATGAACACCGGACACGCGCACGCGCTGTCCAGTTGCAACATGTGCAAAGACCTTCTGTACAAGCGATTTATGATTGGATAGCTAGATCTTGTCGTTCTGAGATGTATGACATTACTTTTGGTAGATGTGTTATTTAACTTATGTGTGTTTTTGTGTTTCACAGTTTCCATTGTTTTTTTCATGCAGGGATGAGGAATTGTTTCTTTTTTGTGGTCGGTCTGCACGTCAGGGCTGATTTTATATCACTGTTGGAAGGTAAAGATGTGTTAGCTGGCATATTGAATGTTTGGGCATGTGTTTTGAATTTTAGGGAAAGGAGCAAGGTTGTCGGTTCACCGTCCAGGCTCTTCGTGTCAATAATGTCTACGGTTCGTTTCTACTACACGTTGTTACATTTTTTATCCCTGTGCTTGGGTTCTGTTTGGTGATCCGTTTGTTCTTACATTCCAGTTGTACACCGTGGTTGATGATTCGGCGCCACGTGGATGGCGGTTGTAGTGGTTTACAGATAGTATGGATAAGGAGTTGAACTTGTCTACTTATAATTCATGGGATGAATTAGACATGGTTAGTGTTATTTGTATGCTATTCTAATTTACTGTGCATTTAACCCTGCCCATTAGATATAGTCATTTTTTTTTTTGGGTTGCAGCTTTTTTTCCCTATCCTTCAAGCCTCGAACTACTATGTTGTTTTAGTTGATTTCAAACGCATGCGCTTCGATGTTATAGATAATTCTTCCGTGGGGGATTTGTCCCTCGGGAAATACGACCACACACTCACGGTGTTGGTATGTGCGACGTCTATTTTAGCTTTTTCATTGTTCTCTCGTATCATTTTTGGGGTTCATAATTGAGTATCCAGTTCTATTGTGAGCGCTTGTTTAATGTAGTGTCATTTTTGTAGCATGATTTGCAGTCCGTTTTCTTTGAGGATGTTGGGGTATCCGCATTATCATGAAGGTCACACAACTGATTCCTCGTAGGGTACGTTTACCATGGCGTGATGCTACGAACAAAGTAGATTGAGGTGTTTTTACAATGCTCCATATGAAGTCTTATGTTGGTCAGGCATATGCTTCATGGGATTGTGGCCTTCGTAGGGGTGATGCACACGGTTTGCTTGCTTTACACGTGATGTTATCACATCTGTGCTTGTTTTTATGGTTATTTTGAATCATCACAGTAATTAAGCTCTTTAATTTTGCTTATTTAATACATGTTTTCCTTGCTATTATCATTTAATTATGGTTCGTACTTGTTTTGAATATTTTACGGTGTTTGTTAGTGTTTTTGAACCATTTTAGGTCAAAGATATGACCAAGGGGAGTTCAAGGATGAGTTTGGAGCAATTTTGGATGAGTTCGGGGCCCAGTGGACTCGACGCGTCGAGCCAAGGGCTCGACACGTCGAAATTTTCCAGTAGCTAATTAATTCGCGCACAGGAAGTCTCGACGCGTCGAGAAAATTCTCGACGCGTCGAATATGCGTCTGTTTCTGGGATAAAAACAGACGCCTAAAGTGGCGCGGATAAACAAAACAGACGCTTAAAGTGGCGCAGCTGGGCAAAATTCAATACAAGCGCGAGATCTCTTTTCCTAATATCAATTGCGCGGATTTCATGGCTCATATCTCCATATTAAAAGTTAGCAATTCAAGGAATCTTCCAAATTCTAAATATCATTAAAGACGACAATTTCTTTATTTAAATATAGGAATTAGAATTTGAGTCCAATTTGGTACAAGATTCCTATTTCATCTCAACTTTGTACCCACTATAAAATCCCTCCTTCCTCAACCCTAATGGGAGGACGGGGACCGAGAGAATTCAGAGATTCTTGGAGACAAGAAGGAGAGAAATCAAGAGCCACAAGTTGTCTTGGAAAGCAAGAAGAAGACTAGGGAGATTTGGGAAAATCGTCTGGTTAATTCTTGTACTCTTTTGATGATTTGTAATTCTTTATTTATATTTGCTATGTATAATTTAGTCATGCTTGGCTAAATTCTTTAGAGATTTTTGGGTAAAAGTGTTTATGAACCTATGTGCCTGAGCTCTCAGTTTCTTTAATATATTATTATTTGGGTTTAATACTTGTGTTGCAATCGTGATAATATTGTTTGATGCTTGTAATTAATGGCCATAGTTACTAGCTTCATAGCCATGTTTGTGTCACCAATGGGAGTTGGGGCATAAATTAGGGCACACACGATTGCACCTAATGGTTGGTCCTTGGGAAAGGGGAACTTATTAGGGGAAGTTTATTCTAGATTGTTGCCAATCGGGAGATGGTAGTAATTAGGAATAATTGAATGCTGATCTTTGATCTTATTGGGTGTTTAAGCCATGGGAGTGGAAATTCACTAGGAATAGAGATTACGGGAGTAATTCGATTCCACTTTGCATTCCCACACAAATCTTAATTCCAAACTAAATATTGCAAACGATAATTGGCACTAGGTGATTAAATACTTGAATCCCATGAATCTCAACTTCTCTCTAATTGTTTTCAAAATCCTGAACCTCTGTTTTATTTTATTTATTTTATGCCAATCAATCATCTAAGTAATTGTTAGGATTAGCTCTAATGAATAAGTTAGTAACTAGTGCTTGATACAACCACTTCCCTGTGGATCGATAACCCGTACTCCGAGAATTATTTGTTTGCAAATATACTACGCATCAACACGCCCGCTTCTTGTACGACATTTTGTTGTTCCAAAGCAACACTCATCGGTTATCGAATGTCGATTCTGTTATAAGGTCAAATGCTGCGACACGTTGAAGGCCATATTTTATTCCACCAATTTTTATTTACAGAAATTTATATTCTGGACTTCCCAGTACGGGGTTTTTTGTTTTGTTTTTATGTTGCTTGGTTAAGATAATTTTTATACGCTATTTATGTTTACGTTTAGGATGTGGTTTTTATATTGCATTATTCTTTACGATTGTTCCACTCAATCTAAACAGTTTTGTCTTAGTACGTATGTTAATTTTAAACACAGTTGTTGGTATTTGGGCATCCATTGGGGCTCTATGCGTAACTGTGACTCGCTAAGTGCATGGATGGTATTATGGTTTTTTTTCCTTTTTTTTTTTTTGTGGAATCAAATCTGTCTGTGTCCTCTTTGGTCTCTACGTGTAATGCATACGGTCTGGGCGTATGAATCTCACATTACTGGATGAAAACGTATTTACACCCGTTTGAAAAAATACCCTGCGTCTACCCACGTCTGAACAAAGGAATATCTGCACCACCCTAACGAATGAAAATTACTGCCTGAAGACAAACACCATTGCGAACACAAAGAGATAAATTTAAAAGTGCATCACTCTCTAAATAAAAAAAATTTGGCTAGCATTGAAGCAATATCCACATAGATTCACACATCACCATGACATCGTGAGCCCAAATATAAGTTATGAATTTCGAAATTTACACAGTTCCATTCCGGTAAACGCCGAACCAACCCTGTGCATGGAATCATATTGGTCTGTGCGTCATGGGGCACCCGTGGCTGCTGATGTGACGGGATGGGTTTTTTTTTTTTGGGGAGTAGGCCATTAGGTTCTGTCGTTTGATTATTCATATGGATATATAAAGGGGTCTAAATGTCAGTTGGATCCGGGGTAACACTTTGCATTGCATGGACCATGTCATCTCAATTTAAGCATGTTATCCACATAATCTCATCCATTTATTTGTCATTAATCATTTTGTCTCCCCAAGTTTCCATCTCACCCACAGTAAGTGTGGCAAAAAATTATTGGTAAATCAGTAAAGCTTTACGCTCGTGCTGTAGAAGTTTTCACACACATGCTTAGTGTATTTTTTTTTAAACAACTACAAAATGACATGACATCTTCGAAGAGTAAATAGTTCCAATTAAACAGTAACGCTCTCACTAGTTCTTTCAATTATAATACAGTTTTTATTTTTGGGGGTAGCTCCTACTGTTGTGGCCGGTTACTGGCCCACAGGTCTTGCATGTTCGTTTCTTCTTACTTTGCTTCGAAACGTCCCCTTGAGCAAGACCTAAATATCTGTATAACAAATTAATTTTGGTGCTTTCTTCGTTGCTGTTGGGTGTCGAAGTCCTTGCATGTTGCAGACTATCATTGCCCACTCCATTTGTTTTTTTTTTAATGCGGTTTTTGTCCATCGGGGGGTGATATGCTAGGGTGGTATGTGCTCGATCCTTTCGTAGATTAGAACTGCATAAGCATCACTGCACAACAGACCAATCCTTGTGTACAGTCGGCATGTGCAGGTTGTTGTGTTTGTCCCATTTTCTACTATGACCGTGTATCTCTTATTGTATTCATCCTCCACCACATATATGGCCACGGGGCCATCATGGTTGACTGAACGCACTCGACAATCAAAACATCTGGCACATATTTTCTCTTGTACCTCGTAAAACATGGTTAATGTATACAGTGACGCTGCTTCTCGCTCTATTCGCAGTTGCATTTTGAAGGGGGGAGGGGGTCTGTGCATTGCATGCCCCACTTAGGTCCGTCTCTGTGATTCGTTGCTTTCTGATTGTACTCTCTAACCGGATGAAAAGTTCTGAAAGACACAAGTGCTTGTTTAAGTTAGTTCAGAAAATTCTATTTTCTGCTTTAGACCGGGATGTCGTACGGAGTAGTCCGTCCATAAACACGTCTTCAAAACAAGCAGGCACCCATGTTGCACGCTCGTCATACATATGTTTCAGCCATGCATTTTCTTGTAGACCGTATTTTTCAATAACTCCTCTCCACGCAACCTCAAAATATTCGGAAGTCGCACTGTCATTCCACACTACACCATTTAGCTCCCGGCGGAACTCTTCGTTCCGCGCCAACTCAGTGCTCACTTTATCACTCACCTTTGTCATTATATGCCACATGCAATAACGGTGACGGGTCTCCGGGAATTCTTTTGCAATTTCTACCTTCATTGCCGGGTTTTGATCTGTTACTGTAATATGCGGTGCGCTGCCCATTGCGCTCTTGAAGTTCCTCAGTGCCCAACAATACGAGTCCACATCTTCCCTAGCAATCAGTGCTGCTGCAAATGTCACGCATTTTTTGTGGTTGTCTACACCGGTGAATGGGACAAACACAAGGCTGTACCTGTCACACCAGGGAACTAGTTAGTTCGTATGCTTAGAACGTGAATTTTTTTATGCTCAGATATGTGGCCATGCATTCACTAGACACTACCACGCACACGTTTCAACTCACGCACGCACAGCAGATTGTTTTTTTCCCTTACCCTCCACGTATATTTGTATAAAATGCACACAAAACCCTGAACCACTCTCAACGTTTACACATATGGGACAATTGCATTTGTATTTTTTAGTTTCCGGACTTGCGTACCTGTTTGTTTTGTACGTTGCATCGAACGATACGACATCTCCGAACGCACAGTATTTTTGACGTGTCGCACCGTCCGCACAGAACACACGTGCCAATTGGTCTTTTTCATTTGCCTCATATTCAAAGTACATGTCACTGTAGTCAGATTTGATATCAAGGTATTTAGATATTATCATTTGTGCGTCGCTTCCTTGCATGTATGCTAAGACCTCCCTTCTATAATTCTTGAAATCTAGCTGCGTACACCCCACGTTCTCAACTCCACCAACCATCTCTGCGTATATGTCAAAGCTCTTACTGGCACCAATATTAACTTTAGAGCAATTCGTTATGAATTGTTGATGACCAACATCTAGTTTCCTATTCACTTTCAAGAAAGGCTTGTAACTCTCCTCGCACAAACAGTGAGTGTGCGCCTCTTCGAATGTCTTCAAAACATACCTTCCCACACTGTCTCTTTTGAATACAATCCTAGCTGTAAACACAAAAAAAAAAAAAAAAAAAAAAAAAAAAAAAAAAAAGAAGTAAACTTTGTATATATTTTACAAAATTCCTTGTACACTGTATGTATAATTCAATATGCAGGTACAAAATCTCTATCTAGTCCTCTGATTCTTCACTGACGTGTTCTACTGAAGTGCCTCCGGGATTCAAGTAGCGTAGCCTTCGGGATTCAAATGGTGTAGCTTACGGGATTCAATTGGCGTGATCTTCAATTGCAAATGTCAAGCTTCGAAACAATCAACTCTGCAAAGCATCAAAGTACCTGCAATGGCTTCAAGTTGCCTTCAAAAGACTTCAATATCTTCAAGGTACCTGCAATGGCTTCAAGTTGCCTTCAAAAGACTTCAATATCTTCAAGGTCCCTGCAATGGCTTCAAGTTGCCTTCAAAAGACTTCAATATCTTCAAGGTACCTGCAAAATGCCTTCAAAAGACTTCAATATCTTCAAGGTACCTGCAAAATGCATTCAAGTCCTCAAGCGTTCTTCAATGCCTTCAAAGCCTTCAAGTCTTCAAATGCTCTCAACTCCTCAAGTCTTCAATTGTATTCAATGTATTTAAGGTGTGTTTTAAAGAATGAAAGTGAGGCTCTGTTTATAGTGAAGTTTGTAACTAAAATCTCTCAACAAACTCCACTTATATTTATTTAATTAAATTAATTAATTATCTACTAAAATGAACCTTGCCAAAATCAAGTCTAGGTTCATTATTCTATCATCAAATTCAAATTCAAATTAAATTATAATTATCTAATTCAAATATAATAAAATCATATTATATTTAAATTATAATTATAATTATAATTCAATTATGAAATGGGCTTAAACCAATCAATTAATTAATTAATAATAGCCCAAATCAAATTTACTTGGACTAATTAAATTAATTTAATTATCATAGCCCAATTAATTAAATTGGACTAATGATCAATCCCGAAATTGGGCTCGATAATGATTTATCGGTCCACTTGTCGGCTTCAAATTTTCTGTGTCTACAAATTGCCCCCTCGAGACTTTCTTGGACATGCCACTTGAGAGCATACACTGCTTGAATGTATGTAGTGCATGGAAGTCTCAAAACTATAAGGCCATTTCAACTCATGCTAAGGAGCCTTGTGGGATATGAGGCAGTTTCGACTCGTGCTGGGGAGTCTTGTGGGATATGAGGCAGTTTCGACTCGTGCCGGGGAGCCTTGAAGTAATATGAGGCAGTTTCGACTCGTGTCGGGAAGTCTTGAAGTAATATGAGGTAGTTTCGACTCGTGCCGGATAGTCTTGAATATGGTGCGTTTTCAATTCACATTGAGGAAGCTTGAAGAACATTTCCTCCATCACATATTGTGGTATAATGTGTTGAGGCACATTCTTCTCTAGCATATGGGTTGATTAGAGAAATTTTCATCTTCATTCCTTTATTAGTTGGAGTAATATGGAACCACTTCGGCACGTAATCCGCCAATGTGACTGGAACTCATGCTTTCATATGGTGGCCGCAAGTCCCCCCATCAATAGAGCCCCTTAACATTCTCTTATTGAACCACATTTTCATAACTTGCTTAGATGGTCGTGTCGCATCATCAACGTGGTGTTGTTTAGCATGCTTAATACCATGCCTAGTATCATACTCGGGTTTGGTATCGTAAGACTTGATGTTAAGAGGGAAAAAACACTTGTGTCGTTTTCTATTTCCCTTCACATATGTGGGACATCAGAATCTAAGAAGGGATACTTCTTGTTTTGTCTTTCTCTGAAAGAAAGCCTTCTACTACCCTGTAATGATCTAGAAGCATCCCTAGACTCACCAGTAGCTTCAGTGAATATCCTAGCTGGTTGAATATTCACATGCATAACATCCATGCTTTCATATTTCTTAAAGGCCTTGCCGTCATTTTCAACCTCATCATGACTCTTGCCCCCATTGTAGAAGCTTTGAATGTGTATGTTTTGTCCACCATTAGCTGTTATGCTTAACTCCATATCGTGGGCGCGACTAGATAATTCCTCAAAAGTCTTAGGCTTGAGCCCTTGGAGGATGTAGGAGAGCTCGAAGTGCATGCCTTGGATGCACATTTCAATCGCGGAGCTCTGTGATATCTTTTCCTTGCAATTAAAGCATAACTCCCTCCATCTTTCAATGTAAGTGACCGAGCTTTCACCATTCCTTTGGCGAGTGGTGATGAGTTCTAAGAAGCTGACGGTTCTTCTTGTGCTGTAGAAGTGGGTCAAGAACTCGCACCCAGATGTCATGCCAGCTATTAATGCAGCTAGGCTCCAAGTCAGTGTACCAATTGAAGGCAGTACCCTTCGAAGAGCGGACGAACTGCTTAACAAGAAGATCTCTATACGTCCCAGCGTCGTTGCATGTTTCCACGAAGTGGCCGATGTGTTGTCTTGAATTGCCTTTCCCATCGAATTGTTGAAATGTTGGAGGTTGATAGCTAACATGCATCTTCAGATCCTCTATCCTTTGGGTGTAAGGCTTGGTGTAAGTGTATGAAGGTTGTCCCCCCTCAAACTTTCCTTTGATAGCTCCCATGATGAACTCGTTAATCCGATCTACTGGTATCATGCCCCCGGTGACTGGAATGCTCATGTCCAAACTTGGTATATGCGAAGTTGATTCCTCGTGCACTGTAGTTCGCCCAATGCAAGTTGGTGAGTGCGAGGTATCTTCACCTTGAACCTCAGGTTGTTTCCCAGGAGCCCGGCTAGTTTCGCCATTCCTTGTGCTCTCGACCTTTTCAGCTAAGTCGTTGATTCTCTTTTCTTGGTTTTGAAGGAGGGTGGTGATCCCTTCAAGCGCCTTAGTGATGCTTGCGAGCTGGTCATCTATAGTTTCTGCGCTTGTTATCATAGCCGGCATGCCTGTATAGATCCTGACCATTCTGGCGCGACCTTCCACATGTTGGACGACAGCGATGTCGGTGACGAGCCTCCGGTGTTAGCATTTCCTTTTGGGGATGTTGGACTCCTACTATCATCAGTTCTTTTCAAAGATGTTGGATTCCCGCTATCGGCTGCTTCTTTCGGAGATGTTGGACTCTCGCTACCAGCTGCTCCTTTTGGGTTAGCCCACTTCTCGCTATTAGCCGCTCCTTGTGAGGTAGATGACTTCTCGCTATTCGCCGCTTCTTTCGGAGATGTTGGCATCTCGCTGCCAGCTGCTCCTTTCGAAGATGGTAGACCTGCAACATAGATAGACTTCCTCGGGACGGTAGGGGCCGTTTCGAGTCATTGAATCATGCATCGAACAATTGACTCAAGTTCTGGCGGTCGCAATCCTAAGCTCCCTGCACGGCTCCTGGTTCATGGTGCTTCGATCTCTCGGCTAGCTTCAGAACCAGCTGTTGATGAAGACTTGGAACTAGCAGGTTGGGCATAAGACTTCTTGAACATCGAGCTTCTTGACGCCATTATGATTTCTAGTAGAGTTGCTTGCTGATGTAGATCATTAGTGAAGAGATGAGAGGCAGAGCGGTCCCACCAGGCGTGCCAAAATCTGTAAACACAAAAAAGTAAACTTTGTATATATTTCACAAAATTCCTTGTACAGTGTATGTATAATTCAATATGCAGGTACAAAATCTTTGTCTAGTCCTCTGATTCTTCACTGACGTGTTCTACTGAAGTGCATCCGGGATTCAAGTAGCGTAGCCTCCGAGATTCAAATGGCGTAGCTTATGGGCCGGGATTCAATTGGCGTGATCTTCAATTGCAAATGTCAAGCTTCGAAACAATCAACTCTGCAAAGCATCAAAGTACCTGCAATGGCTTCAAGTTTCCTTCAAAAGACTTCAATAACTTCAAGGTACCTGCAATGGCTTCAAGTTGCCTTCAACAGACTTCAATATCTTCAAGGTCCCTGCAATGGCTTCAAGTTGCCTTCAAAAGACTTCAATATCTTCAAGGTACCTGCAAAATGCCTTCAAGTTGCCTTCAAAACACTTCAATATCTTCAAGGTACCTGCAAAATGCATTCAAGTCTTCAAGCGTTCTTCAATGCCTTCAAAACCTTCAAGTCTTCAAGTCTTCAAGTCTTCAAATGCTCTCAACTCCTCAAGTCTTCAATTGTTTTCAATGTATTTAAGGTGTGTTTTAAAGAATGAAATTGAGGCTCTATTTATAGTGAAGTTTGTAACTAAAATCCCTCAACAAACTCCACTTATATCAATGATCTAACCATTTATTTTTTTCATATTAATCAACTATGGATCATTTTTTATTTGCAGTCAACTATTAGTATTCATTTCTTTTTATATTTTCAGTCAATTTGTAATGTCATATACATATTCATTTTCAACCAATTATTCTTTTTTATTTTCAGTCAATTAGCCAATTAGAATATCAGATGCAGTGATATATTTATCTAATTTTTGTTCTATTTTTAATTGATGATGTAGAATATTATTATTGAAATATTTCCATTTCCTTTTTAATTTTTGTTGCATTTTTAATTTACCTTTACTATTGTTTAAAATATGCATTTACTATTGATGATGTAGAACATTATTATTTAAATATTTCCTTTTCATTTTCAATTTACTTTTACTTGATGATGTAGAATATTATTATTAAAATATTTTCGTTCCATTTTTAATTTCCATTTCATTGTTTAAAATTGTGAAAGATTTATGACATAATTGTACGTGATTTGATGTATTGTACTATATAATATTATTGTGAAAAATTAAAATGCAATGATCTGACCATTTCCTTTTTCATTTTAGTCAATTATGGATCTTTTGTATTTTCAGTCAATTATTAATATTCATTTCCTTTTCCAATTAACCTAACTTCAATTCCTTTTTTTCATTTAATTTTTCATTTTTAGTGAATTATTAATATTCATCTCTGTTTTCAATTTACCTAATTTTCATTCTATTTTTAATTGATGATTTAGAATATTATTGTCCTATATTTATATCCATTTTTTCATTCTTTTGTTTATAATATTATAATGAATCAATAATTATCAAAATTAATTGAAGTTGTTGTTTAAAAAAAAAATGTTACAGACTCTATTACAATGTAGTATCTATTCATAAACTACTTTCTCAACCAAATGAAGCACAAAAAGTCAATACCGGCTCCACTACGGCTCAAATCCACTCTCTTCCATGTGAGAGTGCAACCCGAGTACCATTAGACCGCAAAGTCTTAGCGTTGAAGTTGTTTATGATAAAGATAATTGAAGAATAATAAATAAATACATGAATTACAATCATAATTTTCCGATCAGAATGGAAGGGGAAACCCAAATATCAAATTTACAAACCTATTTGACGCCATACCGGCACACCAAATTTGTCATCTTCCAAAATTTTGAGGAGATCTTCACATGGGCAGTCGACTATGATGGTTCGAAGGTGATCTCCGTATTTTAAATTAAATACATGGTTAGAAGAGCATTTTTTTTCTTAAGACAACAAAATCTTAAAGAACGTACAAACGTAATGAAGCAATCGTTATACCCTGCACCCCAGCGCATATAGCACTGTGCGCCCCGCGGCTTATCAAAACGGCGTCGTTTTGATAAGTTATGTAGGGAGTTGACGCGATTATGTAAATTATGGTAGACAATTATGTACATTTTTTATACACTTGTGTACATTTTTTTATACAATTATGTACATCTGAGACATGGAATTTATGTGTATTATGTTAAGAGTTTATGTGTATTATGTATTATGTTAGATTATGTGTATTATCTTTTCAAAAAAAAAGTATGTGTATTTTGTTATACAATTATGTACATTCTTTTATATAATTATATACATTCTAGTATACAATTATGTACATTTTCGGAACATGATCTACACTATATATAAAACAAAATCCTCTAATTTTAACTTTCCGCATAATTCCTAAAATTTCTATTCTAATATGATAAAATAATGCAATACAATTCCTAATAAAATCTACTATACTAATAAGAACCCAAGAGGGTTAGGCCTAAAATGAGTAGAAAAAATGCCCGCCACAGTTTTTAATCAGATGAATGGCTCAGATTAATCATAAAATTGATCAGGTTTAAATTTTACAATGAAATTTACTTAAATACCCACACACCGTTAGTCCATCCGTTAAAAATTTTAATTAACCTTTAGTTTGCCGTTAAGTCAATCTCACCTTTCATCCGTTTAGTACATATTTTCAAGATTTTGCCAAATTTCCCTCATCTCCACAGTCGACTCACCCGTCTTTACCTCCTCCTAAGCCATTGAAAGAAATAGACTGTTGTTTAACAGACAAAAAGAAAAGGTCGAATAAGTCAAAAGCTCAGCCGATCAGACTGTCGATATCGATTCCTCGAGAGGATCGATCGGCGATCCAGCAATTTATGTATGCCTCTCTATTCGTTCATGGTCAAGAGGCCTAAGAACTTCACCAATTATCTGGCCTACGCTCTGAAGAGACTTCAAATCATCCTCAGTTTTTTTAAAATCCTTCTTCGCAGCTCTAAAATTATCCCTAACTGCAAGTTTTTCAACAACGTTGTGCTGACTACTACTCCTGAAGGAAACAAAACTCCTTCCTCTGATCCCTCGATTTCAAATACCCCATTTAGAAAAGGTTAGTTTTTTTTTTTAATATTAAAATAAATAAAAATTTCATCTTGTTTTTCCTCTTTCTCATTCGTTGATTAAACTTCATTCTTGGCAATTTCTGTTGTTGTGTGCCCTAATACAAGTTTAGTTTAAGCCAATTTGCTAACTATATATAAATATTGAGACTGTTTTTTTGTTTAGTATAAGCCAATTTGTTTAGTTTAGTTTAGTCATGTTTTCTGGATCCTACCTGTCAAATACACATTGTGCCTGTAATTTTTGAATTACTTTCATTGGTGTAATCTACTTGAAGAAATAGAATTTCCTCAGATTCACCTATAGACATTGATTTGCAAGATCCATTAGATTAAATTATTGCTTTTTAAATTTGGTAGCATGAAAAGGAGCTTATGGATAATGTTTTCCCTAATCTTATTGTCTCAATTAATATTTCCCCCTTTCTCTCATGAAATTGAGTTTGAGGGAAGATAGATTCTGATAATTATGTGGCTATATATAGTT